CCAAACAGAAAAGTTGGCTGGTGGGGCTGAGTTGTCATTCTGGTGTTTGCAGCTTGGGACTGCAATGTGACATGACATGCTAACAGACATAAAACTAGCATTTAAAAAGCTTCTACTTTGTTGTCCTGTCCTCAGTTATATCATTGTTTAACCATGTTTGTTTTCACAACAGGGTTTTAGAAGAAATGTTCATTGGGAAGGAAAATAATAGATAAAATCGGGCCAGTTGTAATTACCAGCGATAATACAGATCAAGGATTGCAAACAGGGCCTAGGCTCTGCAGCAGTGACTGGAGATTTGATAGCAGCTGGAAATTTGGTGGCAGCTTTTGGTAAATGAGAAAACATTTAAGTTTTTAATGAATGGATGGATTTATTTTCTTAACTGTGTGGTATTCTCTTGGTTATGTGCTCTGATATTAAATTCAAGTTGGTTTTACCCTGCCCCAAAATTCAGTTTTCAATGTGCCACCACTATTTGTGTGGAAGCCAGAACTTCTGGAAATTTGAGCCTTTCGGTAAAAGCTAAATGGATATGGGGCCTCCAAGGGACACCGAGCATGGCCTGGGAGGTGGTTTGAAATGACTCAGCAATAAATAGCTATCACTGTTGACATTTAAACGGTCATCATTAAGCATCAGAGTGAACAGCCCTCTGAGTTGAATGAGGGCTTTCAGCGCAATGTCATTAACACGGAAGCCCAGTGACAGGGTTGACTGGTGACGAATTGCTCCTCCAGAACATAGTTCAAAGCACTTTTTGCCAGAGTAGGGTTGGTAGATCTGATATCTTGGCAAAACTCCAGCCTGGGTAACCCTATTCTGCTTGCCCTATATCCTCATGTACTGTCAGCTGGGTACACAAATCTTTAGCTATTATGTAATGCTGCACTGAGCTGCTAAGCAAACATTCCTCCCCAAACTGCTGCATATCAGTGATCGGTGAGGTGATCCCGGTTGTACAACCCTCAGGTGGATCTGAGCAATAATTCTGAAGTCAGTGGGATCTGGGTAGGTGTTGGGGTGTGCCAAGAGGAATTCAATTGGACTAGGGCTAACGTTGATCCACCATTTTGCCATCTTTGGAAAGATGGGGACTATGGCTACATTTATACTTACCGTGCCAGAGATTGAGCTTCTGGTGTTTGATTTAGCAGGTCTAGTAAGGACTTGCTAAATCAAACTCTGAGGGAGCCCCCGTCAGCACCGGCACCCCTCGCTGTCACTAGGAGTAAGGGAAGTTGACTGGAGCATTTGCTTCCATCAGCCTACTGCTATGGCGATTGTACCAAGCTCATCTTAAGATACGTTGACTCCAGCTTCATTATTTACGAAGAGGGAATTGCGTACCTTAAGCCAACTGAGTGTAGTATAGACCTGGCCTAAGTCTATGCAAGTTATTGGGTTTTTTTAACATGTAAGAATTTGTAATTGGGAGTAAATAAACTCTACAATCTTTCTCTTTCCATTATAGTATATTTAGTTGTCATAAACACACAAACACGTCCTGCCTCAGACCCTCCTTTTCTCATCCCATCAATGCCAGTTCTCCACCAGAAGAAGATGAGAAGCTGGTGTTGATGAGAGAGAAACTCCTGCCAACCTTACAGCATGGAAGATACCACGGTAAGTACACTGACTTCAACTATCAACAGGAGGATGAGCAGAAGGAACAGGGAGGAAAAGCGGATTGAGAGAGAGATAAAGTCCGTAATTTGAAAAAACCAGGAGAGCAGATTTGATATTGAGAGAGTTTCCATACTCAGAGAAGAGCAGAAGTTTGACTGGGACGAAGCAGAATTTATTTCAGGAGAGGTAGATGAAGAACAGAGGTGTCTTTTCCCCACAGATTTGGCTGAGAGAGGGAGGGGCCAAGGCAGGATGATTTAAAGGAAAAAGGTGCTGGGAGAAGATTACCAGCAAATGTTACTTTGCCTTCTGTTTTCAGCAACAAGAAAGAGGAGAGGAAATAAACAGAATTATTTTAAACTCATGCAACAGCCAACATTTAATTTTTAGGAATGAAGCAAACAAAATATCAACAGGCCAGACTAGGGATGTGAACGAGTAGTCAAGTAGACGATTAACCAATAAGCCTAGTCTTACTGGTTAATCTTCTTGATTACTCAAATTCCCCCTTCCTTGTTGCCTCTGTATCAGAGGCAGCAGCGCAGGGGTGGAGGGCAGGAGAGGCTGTTTTGCAGCAGCAGCCTCTGTCCTTGGGGGTCCCAGCATCCTGTGGACAGAGGCTGTTTTGCAGCAGCTTCCCCCATCTCTTCCTTCCCCCCCCGCCGCAGCCTCTGTCTGTGGGAAGCTGGGACCCCCCTGATGGACAGAGACTACTGCAGTAGTGTGGGGCAGCAGACAGCCGGTCTGAGAGGACAGCTGGTTTTTAAATCGCAGACCAGTTCTCTCTTGGAACCCCTTGCTGCTGCCTCTGATACAGAGGCAGCAGCATGGCATGGCAGGCACCTCCCTGGGAGTGAGGCCGGATTGTACTGGCTGCCAGCCTTGCCTCCGGGGACTATAGAATAGTTGACTAACCGCTATCTAATATCTGTGGGTCAGACCTGATTGGATCATTCACACGGTATTTTACCAGCCAATGCTGCAATATAGCCAGAATCGTGAAAGGATATTTACTCTTTACAAATGTCCACGGACATCTCAACAAACGTAGTGTTGAATCTTTGTGCAAGAACCACATTTAGATACTTTGCTCCAGCAAGTACCACAACAGCTGTGTTGCTCAGATGTTGACTTGTGGGAGCTGAGCTGTGCTTTTATTGCTAAATGTTTTTAAAAGCATTAAAAAATGAAATGCAAATAGAATATTTTTGCTTGGAAAGAAACAAGCTTTCTTATCATATTGTAGTTGGGTAAAAGAAGAGAAGCTATTTTAAAGAGACCCTAGAAAATACTTTCAGTACTGTCTTTTCTGTCGTATAATAATTCTTCTTTTGTAACACTTCCTTAGTCTGAAAGAAATAAATGCTGATCAATATATTTCTCAAAATGTGTTACAAATATTAGCTGACTCAACCTCCCATCACTTCTGTGAAGTAGGAAATAAATACACAGGATTCACTGCCATTTATTTGTGTTTGTACAGCGCTATCATAACAGAGGTCAAGCTGGTTGTGGCCTTGAGGTGCTACTACAGTATAAATGTTAAATAATAATAATTAAATCAAAATATCGTCACCTACCACTGAAATGCAGCCACCTCTGGGGTGGAACATTGCAGCTTCTAAACAATATACAAGAACGCCACCTAACAGCCTAGAAGGGCAGAACAGTGGCTCTGACTGAACCTGCAAGGAGGCAGCTCTTACTACATTTAAAAGGCAGAGCCACAGCAGGGCTAGCTCCCGGGGCTGGCACGCAGCCCAGGCTCATGCCGTCCACGGGAGCTAACTCCACTGCGGCTCTGCAGTTTCAATGTAGTCGGTGCTGGGCTGCAGCACGCCTGGTACCTGCTACATTTAATCTGCAGAGCCGCAGTGGGGGTAGCAAGCGCCCCCCCCCCCATTGACTACTTGATTAGCTGATTAATCACAATTTTACCTCCCTACTGTGAAGAGCATAGGGGGCATAAGGATGAACTTGAGAACAGAGGTATAGATAGGGATGAGGCTATACAGGGCTTTGTAGGTTGAGATACTTGAATCTCATGCAGTAGAAATACAGATTGAGACCTGCAGGGAAGGAGTTGGGGGTGGCATCGTTGCCTTTAGCAACAGCAGTTTGGACTAGAAGGGGTGATATAAGCTTGGGGCGGGGATGGGCAGGATGCTCTTGTGGTTAAGACATTGGATGCCACAATTTTCCCGTGTAACCTTGGGCAAGTAATTTCACTTCTCAGCTCCTCATCTGTAAAATGGGGATACGTTTCCTATGCAAAATGTTATGATGCTAAATTCATTAATGAGAGGATCAAGTGTAGAAGGCAGGCCATATAAAATGGACTAGAGATGTGGAAGGCAAGCCATATAAAATGGAGCAGAGATGCGATTACAATACTCTGATCATCTTAAATAATAGACCAGATACATTAAAATACACTTGAATGGTTACTGCACATCCACACATGTAACCCTCACTGAAGTCAATGGGAGCTGCTGGCTTGACCTCTAGGCATGGTGGGAAGAGAGCTACTTTGTCAAAAAAGTATCTGGAGCACATACTTCACCCCAGTCTTTAAACAGTCTCTGATGTAAGATATTTGACAGACTCCCTTTAAACCTGTGAGTGATCCTAAGGTTTTAGAAGGCTCCTCTTTTATTTTATATAAACAAATACACCAATTTACATTCAGCTGTTGCTTATTACAGCATTGGCTGCCTGGCTTGTAATGTGTGCGCTTTACCTGTGATAACTGTCAATGGCATATAAGAGACAGCACAGGCACAGCCCCAAACACCTCTGGTGCTGTTTAATAAAATCTTTTTACAGAGCATATCATGTACACTGATCGTGCCTTACCTAGGCACACTGCCCTTCATCATAAAGAATCCCCAAAGACTATGTACTTAGCACACAGAGTCTCTGACGCTGTTCTCTTTAGAGACTCATCTAGTCCAGAACCGTTGAGACCTTATGACATGGACACTTTTTGGGGGTGCCTAGGGGATTGGGCACCTATCCACCTCGTTCCCCCGCCCTCATCCCCGGGATACCTAGGGGTTTGGGCGCCCTATCCAGGTTCCCAGGGCCACCTGTCGGATGAGGTGTCCTGTCCCCTCTGTGGGACACACAGTGTTGGGGCGCCAAGTGCCCTCTGGGATCAGGGGTCCTGGCCCTTCTGTGGGGCACGGATGGGGCTAGGCGCCCCAGGGAAGCCGCGGCCCCACAACTACCTGCGCGCCCCGTTCGCCCAGCCGTGCCCGGGTGGAGCCAGCCGGGCCGGACCGCGGAGAGGAGGAGCAGGGGGAGGGCTCAGCTTAGCTCAGCGCCGGGGCCCAGCCAACCAGCCGGTGGCGCGGCGGGGCAATAAAAGCGCAGGGAGCCGCGCGGGCGGCCGCGGTCCGGAGCGGTGCGCGCTGTGCCAGGCCAAACTGCCCAGGACGCCTCACCATGCTCTTCTGGCACACGCAGCCCGAGCACTACAACCAGCACTCCACCGGCAGCTACCCGCCGG